GCTATATAACTAAAATCATGAGGTGGGGGTTTGGTTTGTCTTTTTCTTTCCCTAGAGATGGAATGTATGATCTCGGTGTAGTGCATTTGTTACAACAGAAAGATGCAACACAGTTAAAGACAAAGCCATTCTTGACTTCTTGCCCATTCTAAGTTCCCAGGACAAGCCAAAATCAAGAGTTCTAGCCTTCTAATTCAGCAATTACCATAGCAACAGTAGTCTTATTCAAACAAAGAAGGACAGTTCAGGCCGCTCAGCTTTTTCTATACCTAAGACATGTATACACTTATAAATGAATAACTCAGGCACTTCTATGGTTCCAAATATAATGGAAGTAATTTAAAGCTTCCAGAATATACAAATTCCTGCTGTGCTGAAAGTAAGTTGAAATATGGGGGATAGGACAATTTCTTATATCTACACAGCATGCTTTATATAACAATAGATTACAGTTTACGAGACAGGGAAAAGGAATTTTAATTAAAGAATTTTAGTATAACATCTCCTGGTATCTCTTAGTTTATATACTTTCATCTACCGAAAAACAAGAGCCTCTTCCATAAAGTTCTAAGAAATCAAGTACCAGAGGCCAGGCATAGTGGCTCACGTCTGTAATCCCAGCACTACTGGAGGTCAAGGCAGGCAGATCCCTTAACCCCAAAAGTTCAAAACCATCCAGGGCAACATGGTAAAATCCCATCTCTACAAAAAATACAAAAATTAGCGGGGCATGGTGGCATGCACCTGTAGTCCTAGCTACCTGGGAGACTGAGGCAGGAGGATTGCTTAAGCCTGGGTGGTCAAGGCTTCAGTGAGCTGTGATCCTGCCACTGCACTCCAGCCTGGGCAATAGAGTGAGACCCTCTCAAAAAAGAGAAAGAAAGTACCAGAAAGGCAAGAATATTTTGTCAAGGAACAAAATCCAGGAGCCATACCCTGGATTTTCATATCATAACTTTCGACACGTCAACTTTTGAAACAAAGAGTCAACCATCCATAGGTATACAAAACACAACAAACCTTGGGAATTTTGTAACCTAACTTTTATATTATTCAAACTTTAGCTTCAGATGAAAAGTCACTAAGGGAAAATCTTTATTCCTTCATTTTAAGTATCATCATATAAGGCTGCCATAAAATAATGGTCAAAGTTTTTATTAAGGACATTGCTTATTTACCTTCTAATAATATAAACAAAATACAACTAGGTATTTTGAATTCACAAATACCTAGGTATTAACCCTCTTGGAGGTATTCATTTCAACCCTAATAAAACTTTAAGGAGACAGAAATTAATGGGTAGCAAAAGTTTAAGATAAACAAAGCTAATAAGTATTGATAACAAGTACTGATCATCCTGCGCATGTTATCTCTGTTAAGTTGTAGCGGGTGATCTTAGGTGCTAAGAACTGAGAAAGTGAAAATGGGGTTTACCATTATGATTTGTGAGAAACTTGTAACAACCCCAGTATCTTTTTTATTCTTTTTGAGACAGAGTCTCACTCTCTCACCCAGGCTGGAGTTCAGTGCTGCAATCTCGGCTCACTGCAAACTCCACCTCCCAGGTTCAAGCAATTCTCACGTGTTAGACACCGAGTAACTAGAATTACAGGTGTGCACCACCATGTCCAGGTAATTTTTTTTTGTATTTTTAATAGATACAGAGTTTCAGCATCTTGTCCAGGCTGGTCTTGAACTCCTAGGCTCAAGTGATCCACCCTTCAAGGCCTCCCAAAGTGCTGAAATTACAGGTATGAGCCACTGTGCCCAGCCCAACAACTCCAATGCTTAGCCCCTTAGTAGAACCTGGAGCAGGCTAGGTGTAGTGGCTCACACCTGTAATCCCAGCACTTTGTGAGGCTGAGGCAGGTGGATCACTTGAGATCAGTTCAAAACCAGCCTGGCCAACACGGTGCAACCCCGTCTCTACTAAACATACAAAAAATTAGCCAGGTGTGGTGGCACATACCTGTAATCTCAGCTACTCAAGAGACTGAGGCAGGAGAGTCGCTTGAACCCAGGAGGTAAAGGTTGCAGTGAGCCAAGACTGGGCCACTGCACTCCAGCACGGGAGAAGGATTGAGACTCTATCTCAAAAAAAAAAAAAAAAAAAGAAGAAGCTGGAGCAGATCCGCCATATAATATATACTGATAATCATTCCTCCAGCTAAAGATTGCAATGTCCTTCTCAGTTGCCTCTGATGATTGTCTTGCTCTTTCTCACCCTGTGTATTTTCTAGTACCTTTGCCATCTGGGTATCCCTTCTCCCAGAACTTTCAAATACTTCCAGATCTAGTTTTTTAAAAATCATTTCCAAAAATCACTCCTACCTCTAAACTTCTGTTAAGTGTGAGTATTCTACTCATTTCGAAAGTAGTTACGCATGGCCTGGTTAGAGTTCTTACACTGGATAGTTAACCTTCCTTATTTATTTTAATAATTTAACTTTAATATATTTCAGCTCCTTGAGCATATTATTATTTACATTTATTTCTGTTTATAGATATAGAAGGTGCTATGAAATATTTATTGGTTTGATTTTAACACTATTCATCACTTTTTTCAATCATCATTACTGCTGATTAAACAAACTTAAAAAATATAGAGGAAGAAGAGAGTACTCCACTTCAAAACTACTGTGAAACAACCGCTTTGGGTGATTACAAGTAATAGTAAAAACAAACAAACAAAAACACAAACCCTGGCCAGGCATGGTATCCCAAGCCTGTAATCCCTAAAGGGGGTCTTGCTCTATTGCCCAAAGTGGAATGCAGTGGCATGATCATGGCTCACTGCAGACTTGAAATCCTAGGCGCTAAGGATTCTCTTGCCTCAGCCTCCTGAGTCCTGGGACTACAAACACATACCACAACCCCTAGCTAATTTTTAAATTTTTTTGTAGAGACAGGGTCTCCCTATGTTGCCAAAGGTAGTCTTGAACTCCTGGCCTCAAGTGATCCTCTTGCTTCAGCCTCCCAAAGTACTGTTATTTTTGCACTAATGTGGAGAGATACTAACTAATTTGAAAAAAAAGAAAAAAATCTTGGCAGCCAATGAAGCCAAAATTTTAGCTCAATCACCTGTCTTTTTTCCAATTCAATGTCATAATTATATAGACATACATTTATTCTTTCAAAAATGAATATATCACAAGAAGATATATAACAAAGAACAATGCTGTTGGAGAGGAGTCCCAGGTTACTCTAAGGCCTGGGCTCTGGATCGTACTACATGAGGATCATCCCCACGGGGGTATAACCATGACCTACTTTGAAAGATCTCAAGAAGAGAATATTTCACATTCTCACTGGCTAACCCTTACCAGGGCCTTGGAGATGTCAGGAAATTGTTCTTGCTACAATTTATATTTATTGTCTTTTCACCACTGGATGTAGAAGATAAGTTTTAGAACTTTATACCTAAAGACCCTTACTGTATCACTCTGTCCTTCCTTGTCTTTAATTTCCTTCTAACTGTTTAATCATTTCCATTCCTGCTTCACACAGTTATTGTAAGGTTCACTTGAAACGGCATACATCAAAGCACCTAGCTCTGTACCTGACACAGAGTAAATATATACTAGCATATACTGCACTTTTCTTTCCTTTCTAACTAAGTACAAAACTGATTATCAGAACTCAAGGCAGTCAGGGTATTCTAATTAGAATCTCATAATGAATGCACAGGTACACCCAAAAATCTGTAAGTTCGTATCTTTTATTTGGCATTTTCTTTACTTTTATTTTTGTTTTTGTGTTTTTTGTTTGTTTTTGAGGCAGAGTCTTACTCTGTCACCCAGGCTGGGGTGCAGTGGCATAATCACAGCTCACAACAGGCTCAGTCTCTGGGGCTTATTCAGTCTTCTCAGCTCAGCCTCTAGAGTAGCTAAGACTATAGGCACATGCTGCCATGACCAGTTAATTTTTGTATTTTTTGTAGAGATGGGTTTTGCCATGTTGCCTAGGCTGGTCTTGAACTCCTAGGGCCAAGTGATCCACCCGCCTTGCACTCCTGAAGTGCTGGAATTACAAGCATGAGCCACTGAACCCAGCCAGCATTTTCAGTAATATTATAAAACCAGATTCTAATTGTTCTTTTCTGCCCACCCTAGTTAATTTTTATCCAAATCCCAAATTTTTAACTATTATGATTTCTTTTAAAGCTTAGATATTCTAAACTAAAATAGCTCAAGAAACATATACTATAAATAGATATCCTTTGTGAAAATTTTTTCCTTAAAATTATTCCTAGCCTCACCTAAACCTTATTCAGTCACATTTCCACTTAAAATGTTTTTTGCTCTTCTTACAGTTACTGTAAATGTGCTCCTCCCTCGCTTTCAAAATGTGAAATCCTGTCAGAAAAGGCAGATTTTATAAAATCAAACACCTACAGTAATATTGCAACATGCTAGAATGTAACTGTGAGAGAAAATTAATTCAGTAAAATGGTATCTTGTTACTTCAATCTGCAACTCTCTTGTCTCTTTTCAAATGATTTTAAAAGTCAGAACAGTCCATATGCTTCTTACAATATCAGTGTTTTCCGCTGAATTTTCTCCTTCAGTCTTAAGATTGATTCGATTCTGAAAGTAATATTAAAAAAAAAAAAAAAGGAAAAACTACCAAAGCTTGGTTTTTCAGATTACCACTTGAAGGGTAGTTTGGAAAAATTCTGTTTTCACTTTCAGCCTTCTTTGCCTCAAAACATGACTTTTTGTCATAATCAAACGGTATAACAGAATGTTAAATGAACCCTTTGATTTGCAACTACCTTATCTTCAAATGCCACTACATTCCTAAGAATTTTTTTCTTTAATCTGACAATACAGCAAGACCCAGTTAAAACAACAGAATTTTCTAAAACAAGTTGTAAAACCTAAGTTCTGATAAAGATTGCCCATAAACTCAATAGAATAAATAATGAGATTCTTATTAGATTGTTTTTCTTAGCCAAGAGAAATCTAGTTTTTACAAATCTTATCTAGAATGATGGTTACCTTAAGGAGATACTGTATTCAGGATAGAAGATGCTTGTATATTGGACCCATGCACCAACCTCCTCTTCAGTTTCCCTTTTTTTGGCTTCTGTTACTGAAAACAGATTAAATGATTCAAATCTTCTTACAGATACATGTCGCAGACAATCATCCAGGTGTTTTTGCTTCAGAACCTTTAAAATAAAACCAAATATTGCAGTCATGTTATATAAACAATAAGTGTTCAAAATGTTCAAAATTTAAATGGGAAGGGGACTTTCCCTTCCAATAATTAAAGATTAGATAATTCAGACATATCTCCTACTCAAATAACTACAAAAGATGAACAAAATATTTTAAAACAATACTTGAAGACATCAGAGAGCAAAGATAGTGAAGATTTACAAGTATCATATCTTTTTTTTTTTTTTGAGACAGGATCTTACTCTGTCACCCAGCCTCACTGTCACCCAGCCTGACACCCAGCTGGGTTCAGGTGATCCTCTTACCTCAGGCTCCCTAGAACTACAAATATGCACCACCACATCTGGCTAATTTTTTAAATTTTTTGTGGAGATGGGGTCTCCCTATGTTACCCAGGCTGGACTCAAACTCCAGGCCTCAAGTGATCTCCAACCTTGGCCTCCTAAAGTGCTGGGATTACAGATATGAGCCACAGCACCCAGCCCCCAGTCTGATACCTTTAAAAGGAGAAAACCTAGAGAAGTTACTCTGACTTTTCCAACCACTTTTCTCCTGGGGATATTTGTCAATTCTAAAAGAAAGAACTGAGAAGATAAGCTGCACCTGTAACAGCCTATGGAGCAAGAAGAGAAAAGCTGAATTTCAAAGCTTATCTAGGAATGGGGAGATATATTATTTCGAGCATTCAAGGTATGTATGTTTTCGTGTAATGAATAATTTTGCTGGTATTGCTGAAAGCCAGGTTTTTAAGTGTGGGACATATAAATTAATAATAATGTGTGGATCTTATTTGGATCCTGTTCCAAAATAATCAAATTATAAAGAAAAGTTATGAAAAAATGAGAAAAATTTGAAAACTGATCAGCTATTTCATGGTATTGTGATTTTTCTTAATGTCATTTTTATAAGTTCATAATGAAATATTTAAAGAAAAAAATGACATCTGAGAGTTGCTTCAAAATAATGGTGGGACATGGGGAGAAGTGAGATTAAACACAGTTGTTCATGAGTTAAAAATTGTTGAAGCCAGCCAGGCGCGGTGGCTCACACCTGTAATCCCAGCACTCTGGGAGGCCAAGGTGGGCGGATCACAAGGTCAGGAGTTCAAGACCAGCCTAACCAATATGGTGAAACCCCACCTCTACTAAAAATACAAGAAAATCAGCTGGGTGTGGTGGCGCATGCCTGTAATCCCAGCTACTCGGATGGCTGAGGCAGGAGAATTGCTTGAACGTGGAAGGCAGAGGTTGCACCACTACATGCCAGCCTAGGTGACAGAGCAAGACTGTCTCAAACAAACAAACAAACAAAAACTCAAACAACACCATGGGATAGATACCCATGATGTGAAATAACTAGAACACAGGGCAGTTAAGCAATTTGCCCGACAGACAGCTTGTAAGAGGTAAAGCCAAAGTTAAAATCCAGGTTGCCTAACTATGGACCCTAAATTTTTAACACCTCTGCTTGCAGAGACTATGATAAACAGGCATCACCTATCCATTCCAGCTTCCAAGATATCTTTCTATTTTATATAGCTGGAAAGCTAGAAACTGTATTTCCCTGAATCCTTAGCAGCCAGAGCTTCAGATGTGATTTTGGTTTAACCATCAGCCACACTAACATGAGATGTGAAAGAAGGAAAGATGGTGTTAACTATAATTCACCAACTTGTGTTGGTTAGAATAGTTGTAAAAATACTTGATTTTTCTGAAGCAGCTTTAACAGAGGTCCCAGTGTTGACTCTCTAATTTAATGGAGAGTGAAAGGGAAGTACAAATGGCATCACCTCTGCTGGTACAGATCCAGAAGAGGGTATGCCTCTAAGAATCTATAGTTATGGCACAGCTTCTGATCATCAGAGATCACAGCTAAAGTGATGTGACCCTGGAGACAGCTTCAGGTTCTTCATTGTGGTAAAGGTAGTATTTCTCTTGACTGGCCAGCTCCAGCTTTATACTGTTCTGGGACTCTGTTGTTCTGGGATTCATTCTTAGCCTGTTTCTCCAATGATTTTGTCAGCACTTAATTCACTACATTAAGCCCCTTTCTGCTTAAAGTAGCTAGAGTGGTTTCTATTTTCTAAAAAGGAACTCTTATTCCAATGACGCATAATTCTTATGTGTATAAGGGCAAACCGAGGTCAAAACAAGCAAGAAAATGTATCAGTATGAATATATCTCATAGGAAAAACATGTTTAAATTTTATATACTATGTAGAAGTTTTAGAAGGTTAGTTTTTTAAATGGAAGATCAGAAAAGGCAGCCTCTCTTTGAAGGTTTTATTTATTTATTTTTAATTGTTTAAAAGCCTTAATCAAAAACAGAGTCATGGCCAGGCAGGGTGGCTCACATCTGTAATCCCAGCACTTTCAGAGGCAAAGCTGGGTAGATTGCTTGAGACCAGGAGTTCAATACCAGCCTGGCCAACATGGTGAAACCTCATCTCTACTAAAAATACAAAAATTAGGCAGTACATGGCGTGCACCTGTAATCCCAGCTTCTTTGGAGGCTAAGGCACAAGAATTGCTTGAGCCTGGGAGGCGGAAGGCACCGGAGCCACAAGAATTGCTTGAGCCAGATCACACTAGTGCACTCCAGCCTGGGCAACAGAGCAAGACTCTGTTTAAAAAAAAAAAAATACAAAGTCTTATTATTATCTGTCAACTATGGTCAACAGGAAGAAAAACAAACTACTCAACAGAGCTTACCCTTAAGAAAAAAAAACAAAGTATTAAATTCAAAAAAATATAAAATGTAGATATTATAAATTATTTTCAATCTTGCCCAGTTAAACTCCAAAAGTAAGTACCTTTTTATAGTCTAAATTACTCTGATGTCAAGGTAATGGCACCATAAACCACTAATGTAAAAAATAATTTAAGTCATTATGTGTATAATACTGGAAGGGGCTTTCATAGTTTAGTATGATCTGCATGATCTACAAGATCTACAATATGACAAGCTAATACTCAATGAAGGTAAAAGGCAACATATTCAGAATAAGACATTTATATAATCCATGTTAGATAAAAGTAATTACAATAGGAGATCAAGTCAAATTACTTTTGACGTTTCTTTAAAAAGGAAGATTCAGTTATTTTAAGGCCATCAATAATATTTGTAGTTTTATGAATTGAGAGAATACTCAAATCTCCCATCAAGTTATAACCTTATCATCTACCACTTTTAGAAGACCTCCTTCAAATACACATGTTACATAATTAAACGATATTCAAATGAAATTATCTGGGGCAAAGGAATTAGTCAAGGCATTTTCTCATTCCCCTAAGTAAGTTAATGAGCTATTTAATCAAATATCAACGCTATACTAAATAAGTTCATGTCAAAAGATTAAGCATCAGAAGAAGGAAAAAAAACACATCAAGTCCTAGGGTCCCTAAACCCATCACGTAAACAATGTATGCAACTGAACACAATGGAAATCAAGGACTCATTTATTAACTTGAAACGTTTACTCCAGAATGAACTAAACTGATCATAACTATACAGAAACACTTATGAAGACTAGATGTAGCAGTTGGATAGAGGAGTAAGGCTAGACACAGAAGTACTGTTTGAAAATCTTTTAGAAGAGTAGCTAGATGCCCTGATTACATCACATCATCACCAGGCAACTACACTTCCCTACAATGGAACTTTGATAGGTAAATTGCTAGAGAAGATGAGTAACAGTTCTGACCTTAAACATCAAGTATAGCTTAAAGTGGTATAAGAGGCTCTTCATTCTGATCAATATTCCTTTTCTTCATTTAGCTTCTAGATTACAATAGGCAGCTAGTCTTGTATCTGCCAGAGAGGAGATTGCAATATAGATTGAGTAACCCTTATCCAAAATGTTTGGAACCAAAAATGTTTTGCAAATATTCCCAAATCCATACAAATCAGACTTTGGATTTGTATGGATTTGGGAATATTTGCAAAACAAAGAAAAGGCTTGGAATGGGACCCAAGTCTAAATATGAAATTCATTTATTTTTTATATATACCTTATACACATAGCCTGAAGATAATGTTATATAATTTTACATGTAAAGTTTTGACTTGCAACTTGTCACAAGAGGTCAAGTATGGAATTTTCCATTTGTAGCAACACATATATGAATCTATGCTCAAGGATGCAAGTAGAAACCAGACAACCTTATCGTTTACCTGCAGAAGCTATATTGTTTCCCATTTTGAAGACACAGCAACAGGCTGGGCACGGTGGCTCACACCTGTACTCCCAACACTTTGGAAGGCTAAGGTGGGCAGATTGCTTGAGCTCAGGAGTTCAAGATGAGCCTGGACAACATGGCAAAACCCCATCCTTACCAAAGAAAAATACAAAAATTACCCAGTCATGGCGGCATGCACTTATAGTCCCAGCTACTCAGACTAAGGCATGAGAATTGTTTGAACCCAGGACATGGAGGTTGCAGTGAGCTGAGATCACACCACTGCACTCCAGCCTGGGTGATGGAGTGAGACTCTGTCTCAAAAAATAATAATAGTAATAGTAATAGCTACTATTTATTGTGACTCTATGATGTGGCAGATTCCAAGCTAAGCATTTTACAAATATTATCTCAAATCCTCAAAACAATCTTCCAAAGTATGTGGTATCGCTCCCATTAAGTGAAGAGAAAACTGAGGCTAGAAAAGTAAAAATCTGTCCAAATTCCCACAGCTTACAGAAGACTTATATCACACCTGTTACCACAAGGATTTAAGATGGCTTAAAAAGATGCACAATACCACAAGATAATATTTATGAAGTGGATGAGAAAAAGAGAAAGCAAAGGTAAGAATACAAAACAAAGTCAAGAATAAAAGTGAAACAAAAATACATTCTATAACAATCTAAATGCTTGATGTAGATTGGTGAAGAGCACACAGTAAGTGGTAGACCTAGGACTGGAGCAAGGTTTAGATGCATCTGATGCCATTGTCAAGTTGCATGCTTGCCAAGTTAACTGTGCCACTTCAA